CGTGCCACTGCTCCATCTGTTATCCGCATCTTCTTGGATCGTGAGTCATGTGCGCAAATAGTCCGTGTTGGTAAGGTTCTCGGGCTTGGGACTGACGTTTTCTGGGTTGAACTAAGGCAGTACGGGGCGTTCGATGCAATACGTTCACATCAACACTTTCCACAATCATAGGTACCCGTATTCAGGACGGGGGCGAGTCTGGACTGAGCATCATAGTGCTTCCAGACTCTAAGGCCCATCCTTAGCTCTTCTTCCAGGTCAATCGCTTCTCACGCGTTCCACAGTCACTTTTCTTTCCACACATTCACTCTTGGCGATCCTGTATCCATTACCTAATTCCCAGTTCCATACAAATTCCTGTTTCCATGAATCCCAAATCACTTCGTGTCAACCGCCCCTACTAGTCATGGCTGGTCATTGTAGAATTTCCAATCAAGATGGCAAGTCATGTCTACGAAGACATATATCCACTTTCATCCTGAATCCGGATCATCTCTGAGACCCAGGTTCACTCATCCTCTGAGACCCATTCAGGCTCTCCTGAATCCGGTCACCAATTTATTTCCAAGTCAATCCATCAATTCATTTTCGAATCGAAGTCCTGAATACCAATATACCGGTAACTGTCAATACCCATCAGTCCATCAACGGTTCAACTTTCTTCAGAGAACGTTGCCACTTCAAGATTTCCTTCGTTCGACGCACATCGTCTCGCTCTCCTCTGCAACATGGCCGAAGGTGCTCTCGTCCCTGATTCGTCCTCTACGGCGCAGACGCCTGAGGTCACTCCTACTCCTGCGGTGCCCACGACTGAGGCTGCGGTCGTTCCTGACCAAGGGGGCGATCCTGCGCCCAGTGCCACGCCGCCTTCCCACACTGACGCCGTGGACTCGGGCGCTATAGTGCCGTCTACCGCGACGCCTGCAGCTACATCTTCCGAGGTGACTCCTCCTGCCAACTTCCTGACGCTTGCCGAGATAGAAGAGATGTCGTTGGCTGGCGAAATCTCCGGGGTTCCGACGCTCGCGGATACAGGCCTGGCGGTTGCTCCCGTCAGTTGGGATGCGCCGCCTGTCTACGGCGGCCTTGACATTCATCTGGTTGGCTTACCTGCTTCGATCGTCGCACTGCAAGGTGGCGCCAAGGTGTACACTGGGCATGGTGGCCTGGAGGTAATGTTGTGCTTCGAGAGTCTGGACACCACGGATCTCCAAGACCTCGAGACGCTCATCGGCGGAGACGTCTCCGACTGCTTGCCGACACTGCGTCAGCGCGTTGCGCCTACTACACTCGCCGCAGAGGTGAATTCTATCGCGGGTCAGCGCTGTTGGGTTAATTTCCACTGGATCACCTTGCGGAGAGAATGATCAACTCATTGTCCTTCATCCGCCGGCTCCTGGCCAAGATTCGACATCTCCAGGCGGCTTGAGAAGCCGAGAATAGCAGCACACTGTCGTCTGAGCCTCTGGTGGCCCGCGAGAACTTCGATGCTATGCGTCGGGAGTGGACTGCTATGTGTCGGTACTGGGTCACGTGTGCGGGCTCTCAAGCAAGATCGCATCTACAGCGAGCATTTCTTGCGTCAAGGTCGTCGCGATGCCGAGTTCCACCACAGAGAACGCATCCAAGAGCTGACGGACCAAGTTGCTCAGCTCCAAGCTCAGCTCCGGGATTCTGAGGCCGCTCGCCAGGCAGCCGAGAGACGCGCTGTGGAGCGCGTTTTGGATGTGAACGCCCTCGTCGATTTCCTCATGGGGAACATGCCGAAGATCAACGTGCTGTTCAACTCGATGCGCCTCGCGGCGCTTCTTCATCACTTCGCTGAGGGCACTCCGATCCCAGAAGGCTGGCTCACGAATATTAATGTGGTTGCCCTGGACGACCCACGCTGTGAGTGTCCCGAGTACGCAAAGCCTTCTCCGAGACCCGGCAACGGTGACTCATCTTCAGGTTCTTCGAGTTCGAGACATCCTAGTGTTCTCGACCTGTCGCCTCCTGCGCGTAACAAGAGGGCGTCGACATCTGGTTTGCGAGCTGGCAACCGGAAGCGGAAGGCATCTATAGCGCGAGATGCGCCTATGTCCAAGCGTCCGTCCTTGATTTTGGCTCGGGACTCGGGGCATCAACTCGACCGCCAACTCCGTCATCGTGGCTATTCGCCCAGGGATATGCTGGTGTACTCGCCCAGGAACGTCCCCAATACTCGGAATCTAGCAGAGGGTGGTCGTGCCCTCCCAGATGGGATGCTCTGGACCGACGTCCGCGAGGATGTCCAACATCTCTTATTGTCCGGAATGGAATTCAAGTGCGCCATGAAGTGGGTCTCTGAAAGCCAAGGCATTCACCACCTCGCGCCTCCGGAGGCTGTCTGTCGGATGTTGGCCCAAGTGATTCACACGGGACAGCTGGATCAGACTCCCTAGTGTCGTTTTGTCCCTGAGGGGTTTTATACCAGCGCAGAGGGGACTTTACGTCTACGCCAGGCCAGGCGGGAACCTACTCCTCCTTGGCATCCTCTGGGTCGGTGTGTCATCAAAGTCCAGAAGCGTAAGCAGTCGATGCGAGAGACTGAGGCTCTACAAGCCAAGCTCCCTTAGTCTTCGGACGATGAGACTCAGGCTCCGTCTTATGAGTTGTCACAGGCGGAACTGGACAAGGCTGTACGAGCTGAAGCTGCTGCCATCAATCAAGTGAAGAGTCCGACGAAGCTGAGACGGAGTCCAAGCCCACGGCCACACACCTGAGTCCCGCGGACCCTCGGGCGTCCAAGGCTGGGAAAACGAGTGACAAGAGCAGTGACTCTAAGAGTCATGGTGCGTCCGCGAAATTCGAGTATCGCGTCGTTACCGGCCCTAAGTCTCAGGTCATTCCGAAGTATGGCGACACCCTTCGCGGGCGCAAGATGCCTATTCTCTCCCTGGTCTCATTCCTCCGTCGGGCTAGGGTGGAAGTTTCATCCGAGGGCCCTCGACGTATTCTATCCAAGTTGGCCAAGTTGAATTACGACGACCTTCACGACAAACACTTGGACACGGTAGAGGCTGCAAGTCGGGAGACTCACGTCTCTTACCGCATTTTTGGGATTCTGGTGAAGTTCGGTTCTTATCGATAGTCCCTGGGGTATCCTGACTTTGAGCCGCACAAGTCCGACATCCACATTCTGAAGGCACGCTGGAACCTGGAGGCGTACCAAGCTCTGGTTCACATTCCGGAACCTGTTAATGGACGTGCTACTCGGGATGAAGATGGCGAGCTCACCAGAGCACCTTGGACCGCGATCTTCCACGATCGCATTATCGTGTTCTACTTTCACGAGGTGTGTGACCTGAACTCTGAGACTCTCGACGGAATCGAGGATTACGTGGACCTCATGCGTGTCAACGCCAAGACTTGGTGGGCGATTCTCCACTGGCTGACCATTCCCTTCTTGTCGCGGGACGTTGCCGATGCCGACGCCTCCCGTGACTTGTACGACGAGCGTCGCCGAGACGTCAAACGGCTTCGGGCACAATACGAGGCTCTACTCAAGCGATTGTTTGCGATCGCTGGATTTCTGAAGACTCTGCTTTACGAACCTGGTCGGTGGACGCTACCTGTGTGTGTGCGTGTCACTGGATTCTCAAGGATCCTGAGCGTTTGTCCCTTATCCGTCGTGGAGTCCCTGACTACTCTGTTCAACTTGACGACTTGGACGCGGAGGATCCGGTCCGCACTCAGTGGGCTGCGGCGCACAGCGACTCTGGCATTCTGGCCACAGTCTCTTCGTTCATGCACCCGTTTCGCATGATCCCCGAACGCAGAGCTCGGAACGTGATTCCCTTGTCTGCAGCGTCTCAAGCGTGAACCCCTTTCGTCAGTTTTGTTGTTCTCCACGTACTCTGGACGTCGGAGTCACTCTCCTTTCTCTCGGACTCAGACAGTAAACTCGCTAATACTAATCGTTTTCCACTTCTCGTTCTCGCATCTTGACTTCTTTACCACTTAATGATAATCTTCGTCTTTGACACTCACTCATACATGGGTTGTTCTCTGAGACCCTCACTGGATCCAGGAAACGACCACTCACAGTTCTCAAAATCAATACCGTCCTGTTCATACAGACAAGCTCCCTGGACCAGGTTACCCCCAGCACTTAGTTCTTAGGATGAACGTCTCCAGCTTGCATAGCTTGGAAACGCGGTCTCGCCTTAGCACCCTGGTCGAACTCGTATAGCAATGCCCCACAATTAAGTTGGGCTAGAGGTATCCTCTCTGGGTTCGTAAATCCTTTGCACATGATCAGATATTCTCGAGAACGCTTGGAGGTCCTAGTACGTTTAATCCGCCGGCGATCTAGGATCTCTTCAACCTCGTACTCATCCTGGGCAGTGCCTGGTTCCCAACTATCTTTGGGTAGCAAAGCTGCGTCAAAATCATTCTCTTCCGAGACTTGTATCTCTGAAGTCGGTCGCTTAGGAAACAGAGCTCTCGGTTTGAGGCGGCTAATGTGGACCCCACGGGTTCACACAGTAGCCTGTGCCTGGGATCTTGAGCTTGATTCTGAAGTCATCATGAATTTCGTCGATTCGGAAGGGACCCTGCCACAGGTGAGCCAGCTTGCGGCTCAATTCTGTGCGGACTTTGGGAATATACAACCATACAGAATCACCGTCCTCGAAACCTGCCTTTACACGATCTGAGGGTGCTCTCCACTTACGGGTCTGTACAGCAGATCTCACACGCTTTGCCTTCTTTTGCAAGTCTTCAGCGCACGCAAGAGCATAACTATAGTCCCGTTGCACCTTCCGACGCCACCCCAGAGCCGTTCGTTCTTGAACTGTGGATGGCTTCGGGCCCAGCATGGCGGATATGGTTCCCTGGCGTCCCACCCGTGGACCAGGTAGAACGGAGTGTCCAATCTTGCAACGTCGAACGAGCTATTCCGAGCAAACACGAGACGTTCTGCATGCTCGTCCCAGTCACTATGGTCAACTTCAGTGACATACGCTCTGACGCTTCGCATCACAGTTTGGACTGAGCGTTCTTGCTGCCCATTGGCCGGAGGACGGTATCCTAGCGTCGCACGTTGCTTACTTTTCAGAAGGTCTCTGAATCTAGCGAAGACCTTGCTCATGAAGCGAGGCTCCTGGTCATGTCTGATCATTGAACCCGCCCCAAATCTTCTGAATACGCTCTCTTCATATGCCTCAGCAACATCTTGGGCTTCGGTATTCTGCATGGGTTTACACATGACGTATCTTGAGAATTGATCTTGGAACAGCAACAAGTAGATATTCTTGGAACAACAACAAGTAGGTATTTCCACGATCGGACTCAGGTAGCTCAGTGACGAAATCCATAGAGACCACCTCGAACGAATATCTCGGTTCGAAATTTCCAGGTGACGGACCGAGGACCGGTGGTCGCCCCTTGGCTGACGCACAATCCACACTCTCTCTCACAAACTTCTGTACATCGGTGTACATCCCAATCCTGTAGAACTCTGAACGTAAACGCTCAAACGTCTGGTTGATCCCTTGGCGACCACCTTGAAAGTCTTCATGTGAGTAGTGTATCATGTCAGCACGTAAAAGTCACTGGGACTACCAGCCTGAGTTCCGACCGCTTATTATCGGAGGCTTTCGGGAGTGGGTGTGCTCAGCCTGTAAAGGACTTCTCGCGAAGCTAATACAAACTGATCAGAATCGTTCGCAATCTTCTTCACCTGGTTCCGTGGGAGATCTGACACGTCTCCTTTTAGGACCTTCTTCATTTGCTGGATCCACGAGTCTTCGTCTTGGTAAACCTTTATTCTCCTCCAACGCTCATCCTGGTATCCAGACTGGTCTACCGGAGTCCCGGAACTTGCATCCGCTTCCGCACGTGATCTCGTTATCACCATCAATGCCTCAGCTGCTGTAGCTAAGACCTCATGTGTTTCAGCTTTAGAGTTACACGTCCCAAATTCGACTTGGTCCGAGCGAACCGCACCAGTCGGAAGGGTACCTAGGATTTCCGAAGGCTTCATGATCTTGTCAGGGATTCTGGACACGAGACGTAAATGTACTACCTCGCCGGGGTCATCGAGCTCCCAGGATTCTCCAAGCACGAGAGTCTTAGCGGTTAAGTAGACGACCGCTTGGTTAAACTCCCGATTAACATGAATCAACTTCACCGACACAAATTCTTCCTGAGATCCTGATACTCAGCTAGCCGTCGTTGCAGGTTAGGATGATTGCAATTGATCAGCCCCTGAGCTTGTTGGACGCCAATTCGGGAACCACCGACTGCCACAAGTTTCTTGACATCATACTTCATAGCAAGCTTTAGCCCTAGAATCAAACCATGGTATTCAGCGTCATTGACTGTCACACCTTAAGGATGTGTCGTTCAGCTTTCACAACTTTCCACCCTGGCAGCTTCCACAGTAACTTCCTCGGCGAGTAGAGAGCTACGCCGCGCCATCAAAACTCAGAACGTACCCTTGGTAACTCGCGTCCAACATTTCCAGACTCACTGGTGGCATCACTTTCAGGCGTCCTTTGGTAGGAATCAGGGTTTCTACAACTTCATCTAGATGTTCCCTGGGAGTGATGGCTGCGAGACCGTCCTCATCTTTCTGAGTCCGATGGATTTCTAGTGTCCATCTTGATCGTTCCAACCCCCACTTCAGATGTCGTCCATCTGCGGTGTTGGATTGTAGTAACCATTTTAGCATAGAGTAGCGCGTATATACCACGATTGCGAATTCTGATCCATGGATTAGAGGTGTGAAAACCTCCAGAGTCCGCAAGATTGCGAGCACTTCCTTCTCACCTATGTGGTAACGTAGCTCTGATTCCTTCAACACTCTGCCCGTAAATCGCACTGGGTGTATGAATCCCTCATACTCCCAACCCAAGACTGCACACGTCGCCCACGGGTTAGCATGCAGAATAATCACGAAAGGCTTGGTTCTGCCTGGATGTCGCAGCGGCGGGGTCAATACGATCTTACGTTTCAGTATATCGAAGGATTCCTTCGCAGCTTCCAGGTTCCGTCCAGCACGTACACGTTATTCGTCTAGTTCACAGAGCACAGCGACGACTACTGGTAAGTCTTCAATAAAATTAGTGTAGTAGTTCAGGCTTCCTAAGAAGGACTGTACTCCCTTGTACGTTGAGGGGAAAGGTAAGTCCTCTATGCCTTTGACAATCTTCTACAAGGCTCTGATTCCGTCCGCACTCACTTCATGAGAGAGGAAGGGGA